AAGGAGCAAGACGTGCAGGGATGGAGGGGTTCACAGTCAGACTGGAGAGGAAAGCAGCGATGAGTCATGATGTTATTTGCTCCAGGATCCCTGGCAGGCGTATCCCTACAGAAATCCTCTGTCAGGGGCACCTGGGTGGCTCAGTAGGTTAAAGCCTCTGCCTTCGGCTCAGGTCATGATCTCAGGGTCCTGGGATCCAGCCCCGCCTGGGGCTCTCTGCATCAGGCTCTCTGCTTGGCAGGGAGCCTGCTTCCTCCCTGCCTCTCTGCCTACTTGTGATCTCTGTCTGTCAAATAAATAAAAAATCTTTAAAAAAAAAATCCTCTGTCATTCTAGCCTACATATTGTGTGTTCCCCTATACCAGGGGTTGGCCAGCTTTTTCTGCATGCAAAATAGTAGATATTTTTGTTGTTCATGCCAGAAGGTCTCAGTCACAACTATTCACCTCTCCTGTTGTAGCCTAAAAGCAGCATTAGGCACTATGTAAACTAATGGGCATGGCTGAATTCCAATAAAACTTTTTTTTTAATTATTTATTTCTTTTCAGTGTAACAGAATTCATTGTTTATGCACCACACCCAGTGCTCCATGCAATGCGTGCCCTCCATAATACCCACCACCAGGTTCCCCCAGCCTCCCACTCCCCGCCCCTTCAAAACCCTCAGATTGTTTTTCAGAGTCCATAGTCTCTCATGGCTCATCTCCCCTTCCAATTTCCCTCAACTCCCTTCTCCTCCCCATCTCCCCTTGTCCTCCATGTTATTTGTTATGCTCCACAAATAAATGAAACCATATGATAATGATAATTGACTCTCTCTGCTTGGCTTATTTCACTCAGCATAATCTCTTCCAGTCCCGTCCATGTTGCCACAAAAGTTGGGTATTCATCCTTTCTGGTGGAGGCATAATACTCCAAAGTGTATACGGACCACATCTTCCTTATCCATTCGTCCGTTGAAGGGCATCTTGGTTCTTTCCACAGTTTGGCGACCGTGGCCATTGCTGCTATAAACATTGGGGTACAGATGGCCCTTCTTTTCACTCCATCTGTATCTTTGGGGTAGATACCCAGTAGTGCAATTGCAGGGTCATAGGGAAGCTCTATTTTTAATTTCTTGAGGAATCTCCACACTGTTCTCCAAAGTGGCTGCACCAAACTTGCATTCCCACCAACAGTGTAAGAGGTTTCCCCTTTCTCCACATCCTCTCCAACACACGTTGTTTCCTGTCTTGCTAATTTTGGCCATTCTAACTGGTATAAGGTGGTATCTCAATGTGGTTTTAATTTTAATTTCCCTGATGGCTAGTGATGATGAACATTTTTTCATGTGTCTGATAGCCATTTGTATGTCTTCATTGGAGAAGTGTCTGTTCATGTCTTCTGCCCATTTTTTGACATGATTATCTGTTTTGTGTGTGTTGAGTTTAAGAAGTTCTTTATAGATCCTGGATATCAACCTTTTGTCTGTACTGTCATTTGCAAATATCTTCTCCCATTCTGTGGGTTGCCTCTTTGTTTTGTTGACTGTTTCCTTTGCTGCTCAGAAGCTTTATTTACAAAACAGACAGCAGGCTGTAATTGGCCCCTGGACCCTAGTTGACTCATTACTGGTATAGAAGGGTCCCTTCAAAATAGTAAACAAACTCATGTTTGGAAATAAAGCTCATACGCACGTCTGAAATTAGAGTATGTTTTGTCTATCTGCAGAAAATTATCCCAGTTGATTGAGAACTTTTTGAGAAGGATAAGCATTAGAAAGGGAATTAGTAAAACAAAATTTTTTCATGAATTAAGTAATTAATATCACAGATAATATTCATGCCAATGCTTTCATCACAAAACATAAACCTCAAAATGTTTTTAACTTGTAAAATTAAGAACTTATATTCGTAAGCCAATTTTTTTTTAAAGATTTTATTTATTTATTTGAGCGAGAGACAGTGAGAGAGAGCATGAGCAAGGAGAAGGTCAGAGGGAGAAGCAGACTTCCCATGGAGCTGGGAGCCCGATGTGGGACTCGATCCCTGGACTCCGGGATCATGTCCTGAGCCCAAGGCAGTCGTCCAACCAACTGAGCCACCCAGGTGTCCCGATTCGTAAGCCAATTTAAAGAATGAACTATTTCAGGGTGCCTGGCTGACTTGGTCAGGAAAGCAGGTATTCTTGATTTCAGGGTGGTGAGTTCAAGTTCCATGTTGGGTTTCGGAGATTCCTTAAATAAACTTTTAAAATTAATAAATAAAAAATAAAAAATGCATTATTTCTTCTAATTTCCACAATGACCTCAAAAATCCTAAAGGCAAGATACACGTTTTATTCATATAATTCCTGGAACCCAGGAAAATACCTGGCACGAGTTTTGTGCATTAACTGAGAACACATAACTAACAGCAAATAATCATTTTCTCTTTTTAACAGTTGAAAATTTTGGTCTTAGAGTGGTTACATGGTTTAATAAGGTCACAGAAATCTGAACTAAAATCCAGATTATCCGACTCTTGGTTTTTTTGCTTTTGTTATTCTCTGAAGTCATAGATCTAGAAAAGAACACAGATCTAAACACATTTATAATTAGTATTGCATAAATACACTAAGATTACTAAAATATCTTTTATGGTCTAGACTTACTGTCTTTGCTCAAAATTCACCTTCAACAAGGAAATGACTCCCCACTCTTACTCTAGAAATGTGTTAACTGTCTACAATCCAAGAAGCTGGCCGCCAAATATGCCACCATCTTGGTTTTGGACTTCCAGGCTCTAGAACTGTGAGAAATAAATGTCTATTGTTCAAGCCAGCCAGCCTGTGGTATTCTGTTAAAGCGTGAACAGACTGAGACAGATACCAAAGTTTGAGACTGTCCCAGGAGATGCCAGGCTTCTTAATAACATTTTGGGAGTTAAGGAATGCACACTGAGAACGCTTTCACTGAGTTATTTGGGTGATAAGACCATCAACCTCATATAATCAAATGTTTGAATATGATGTATGTTTTGTCACAGTGTCATGATAAACATATGCTTGGCTATATTTGACTTTTATAAAAACAAACATTTCGGGGTAGCACTAGTTAATACTACATGACTATAATATTTTAAAACTTCAAACAATCCACTCCTGGATAATTGTTTCCTATTTTCTTAGGCAGTTATAGTGAATGATTGGGTCACATGGGTATTTTACTGGTAATTGAAAGTTTGAATACCGTAATAACAAATTATTTTCCTTTTAAGAATGTTTTATACTCATTTTAGTAAGTGAGGAATGGCTTATGCACTTGGGCATGATTACATCAGTTCAGTATTTTGCACTGAATTCTATTTTGGAAGAATCAAGAAAATAATTATTGTAATACTACGTATTAGCATGTTAGCTTTTTATGTTTCTGTATGGTTCAGTCAGTTTTGTCATAGGAAATGGCTGATTTTCTTTGCTTGTTACTAGATTATGGTTTTAACAAAATTTATTCCAGTTAGAAAAAAAAAAGTTACTGGATATGTCTTGAATTATTGAGCTTTGTAAACTCATTTCCTAATACTCCATTTTCACATTGGAGGGATATTTTTGTTGATAGTTATAGCTTTTTTTTTTATACTATAGTGCTTCTCAAACTTGTATTTGGAAAGATTTAAATAGAACTGCACTTATTCATTGGCTTTTTATGATTATTAGAGAATACTATTATTTTTATTTGGCACTATCTTAATTTTTAAAAAATACTTTGTCTCTGCCTTTCATTCTGTTCTTCAGCCAAATGATTTTTTAAAAAATATTTACTAGAATATAAATTCTTTAAAGAAAGCTTGATTCTCAGGGTGCCTGGGTGGCTCAGTGGGTTAAGCCTCTGCCTTCTGCTCAGGTCATAATCTCAGGGACCTGGGATCGAGCCCCGCATCGGGCCCTCTGCTCAACAGGGAGCCTGCTTCCCTCTCTCTCTCTGCCTGCCTCTCTGCCTACTTGTGATCTCTGTCAAATAAATAAATAAAATCTTAAAAAAAAGAAAAAGAAAGCTTGATTCTCCAAGTGACCTGTTTTTTTAATATTAATTACACACTTTTATTCTTCTGTCTCTAGGTTCATAACGTATATATTTTTTTAAGATTTTTATTTATTTATTTGACACAGAGAGAGAGAGATCACAAGTAGGCAGAGAGGCAGGCAGAGAGAGAGGGGGAGGCAGGCTCCCCGCTGAGCAGAGAGCCCAATGTGGGGCTTGATCCCAGGACCCTGAGACCATGACCTGAGCTGAAGGCAGAGGCTTAAGCCATTGAGCCACCCAGGCGCCCCTCATAACGTATATTTTTAAAAATAGGAGTCGTTTCATATTTAAAATTGCACATGATCAAAATTGTATAAAAGTTTATTGTATATAGCAGATTGACTAAAAATTGAAGAACAAAATTATTTTTATAATCACAAACTTGGTATATTTCTTCACAGCATTTATTGCTTTAGTGATTTCTCAAAATATCCAAAGTAATAAATATCATCACTATGGTTATCTTGATTCTCTGGGTAAAAGATAGGATGTTTGGTCATCTATTTTTGTGTTTATAATATTATAAAATCTCTTCTCCTCAACCTCCTATATCAAAAAGTCACTGGATTTTGTGTTCCAGTTTGTGTGTTAGTGTGGCAAGAAAATAAATCAATTCGTTATATAAATTTTTCAAAATAGTATGAAAAGCCTACAGGACATTAACAAACTTGTAGCTATTGAACTTTAAAGTCATTGGAATGTGATCTTGGACGTTTTATCCTATGTATAACTTATATAAATTTTATATGTAACTCATAAATGTTGAAACAGAGAGAATAGATTTTATTCTTCAGTTTTGACTAATTCAATACTTGTAATTAAACTCTTTACCAACAGGTGGTGCTAGAAAGTTTAATATTTATTTCCATAGTTCAACTTACTGGAAAAAAAATGTTAATTTTTTAAGTATTATAAAAAAATATTTATATATAATTAACCACCACTTGTTTTTGTTACAGCTCCATTTAAGACAGTACGACTGGTTGGCGGTAGAGGTCCTCATGAGGGCAGAGTGGAGATTTTCCACAGTGGCCAGTGGGGCACAGTGTGTGACGACCACTGGGAACTGCGAGGTGGACTGGTCATCTGTAGGAGTTTGGGATACCAAGGCGTTCAAACTGTGCATAAAGGAGCTCGCTTTGGACAAGGTAATTAAAAAGATAAACACACACACATATTTAAATGAAATGTAGGCATTCTCTAGTACATAGAATAAAGTAGCAGCAGGAACATACAAAATAGGAAGAAAAATCCTACATAGGAGTTTTTTGAATGGCTTTTCCTAGAAGGCAGAAATGAAAAGAAAGATATTTTTAAAATGACATATGCTATCAGACAATCTTTAATGTTTAAATTTTATTTAGACTCATCTGGTTAGGTGGAGAACACTAACATGAGGAAAACAGAAAGACTGGTAAAGTAGAACAGGAGAAATAGTGACAAGTGAACTACAGACAATCCTGGGAAGCTCACTTGATGCGTCTGGGTTTTGTGGGCATCTGAGCAATCCCATGTGCTCACTCATGTGTTCTCTCTTCTGTGTGACTGGAGAGGAGGGCATCAGCTTGTGCTTTTACCTCCCGGTTGTATCTCACAGAAATGAGAGCTATCCTTGGTGCCTGGTGGAGCACCTGTGTTCTGAAAGGACCGTGAGGAACCATGAAAGAGAAAGAAGCAATTACATGGGTTCTGCATACCTACTACTTATGATTTCTCCAAATCCTTTAAGACATGGTGAGAAATAAGGGAAGAGGAAAGTTACTTTCCCCTCTATCTGAGGTTGATAAAAGATCGAATAATTCTTTTGTTGCGTGCATTTGTGTATTTTTACCTGGATGGCTCAGTAACTTATAAATGTATTAGAGAGCTGGGAAGAAAATTTGCAGAGGACAAAAGATTTGAATGTATACTCGTGACATTTTTAATGTCTCTTTTTTTTTTTTCTAAACGGGTACCTTACAATATAGGCTTTATACATAATTAAACATACAGGTGTTTCAATCCTAAATGACAAAGAGATTAGAAAAAAGTAACGGTATAAATTAGACTTTTAAAGTCAGTATTTTTTACTTATTTGTTCCACTGTCCAAATCTGATAAATAAATAATTGGCTTCTCTGAAGTTGATGTTGACCAAAAAAAAAACAAAAACAAAAACAAAAAAAAAAGGCCTGTTGATTTCATAAGTGTTGTTTTAGACAGATATGGGCAAGAAGAAATTGTGTGCAAAATTATAGAAATTAGATTATCTGTTGTTGCTGCTATTTTGTCTATAGTGATAAAATAGGGCAATGTATCAAATCATATAAAAAAACTGCAACAGTATAAGACAGATTTCTTAAATCCGTAAAAGATATTAAGTAATGTTATGCTATGACTATGGGTCAGCATTGTGCTAAACAGGTGAATGGTACTAATGAGAGTTCACAGTTATATCTTTGTTCCTTTACCTAAATGAACTCACTGTATCAGATTTAAAAGGTAAATTAAAGCAAAGATCCAGGTTCCAAAGTCTTTGGAAGTCAGAAATATCATTTAGCCTCCTATGAAGAAGTGAGATAAGACAAAAGAGAGTGGCGATGGTGAGAATTTCAGCCCCGGCCCAGTTTTTTATTTGTTCCTTATAGGTTTGAATAGAAGAAACAAAGGAAATAGAAAAGATCTGTAATTTGCTACAACTAAATAGATGTTTGGAATTTCCATATGTTCCATCTCTACTACATTTTCAGAATTTTCTCCCCAGGTTGGAAAGTACGGGACTAAAATCATTCTTGCACCTGTAAAAAGCAAAAGGTTTTAAAGTCAATAAGCCTGACTTTTATTTTTTTTCCTCCAGAGAAGAAGAAAACAAAATTTAAAAATCCCCAACGGGACTAAAATCATTCTTGCACCTGTAAAAAGCAAAAGGTTTTAAAGTCAATAAGCCTGACTTTTTTTTTTTTTTTCCTCCAGAGAAGAAGAAAACAAAATTTAAAAATCCCCAACTCTTGGTCACTAGAGATCAAATCAATCAGTCAATCATTTAGCAAAACCAAGCTGCCAATCTGAGTTTCCAGTGTTGTATGGGGACAGAATTTATTTCTATGGGAACTAAGATCCACAGCATAAAAGGCCATTTATTTCAAATACTTAATCATCTAAAACATTTCAAATGACTATTAGCATCTATGAAGTGAAGAGCCATGTTGCAAATAGATGACATACAATTTTCATTGATGGTGACTTACTCTCCTGGTAGATGGCTAAAATTCTTCAGTTTTAGGAATAACAACATGTGAATGAGTTATTAGGATGTGCCTATGTTGACAAAGTGAAATATAGTTTGCCATTTGTTCAGATAATCAGCATGAGCTAAATAGCTCAATCCAAAAAGAGAAAACTATCCTAAAAAAAAACTTTCATCAAGATGACTAGTTTCATAGCTTACTTTATCCAGAGTTGACATTTAATTTTGTGTCTTTACAAAACAAGCCCCATATTGCTGTTTATTAATCTCTTATATCTTGAAGTAAACTGTTCCTCTATTACAAAGGAAAAACCAAAATCAGAGCAATAGGGTAGCATATGTACCTTAATTAAGGGAAAACTAATAAGGGTTGGCAAAATATGATCTATGGAAGAATGGCAAACAAGATGTTCCCCAGTTTCATTTCTTCACTGAATATGAAGCTTAGTGCCTTAGATTTCAAAGCTGTTTCCTTTTCATTGTTGTTACTGTTGTTTCAAATTTTTATTTAAGTTCTAGTTAGTTAACGTATAGTGTGATATGGTTTCAGGAGTAGGATTTAGTGACTCATCACTTACATGTAACACTCCAGTGCTCATCCCAAAAAGTGCCCTCCTTAATGCCCATACCCATCTAGCCCATCCCCCACACGCCTCCCTCCAAACAACCCTCAGTTTTTTCTCTATAGTTAAGAGTCTCTTACGGCTTGCCTCCCTCTCTTTTTTTCCCCCTTTCCTATGTTCATCTATTTGGCTTCTTATATTCTACCTATCAATGAAATCATATGGTATTTGTCTTCCTCTGGCTGACTTATTTCACTCAGCATAATACTCTCTAGTCCATCCACGTCATTGCAAATGGCAAAATTTCATTCCTTCTGATGGTTGAGTAATATTCCACTGTGTATATATATATATATATATACCACATCTTCTTTATCCATTCATCAGTCGTTGGACATTTGGGCTCTTTCCATAATTTGGCTATTGTTGATGATGCTGCTGTAAACATTGGGGGTACACAAAGCTGTTTTCCCTTGAGTTCCAAACGTAGGTGGTACACAAAATTGGAGATGATTGGCTTACACTTGCATTAGCATTAAGGCCTCATCTCATAAGTAAAATATCCTTTCCCCACAGCCTTCATTCATTTCTGTTTTTATCTCTAGGGATTTCAGTTCTCAAGTACTGATAAGAAGAGTTGGAAATAAGTATTCTGAACTATTGGAAGAAAATGTTTTCCATTTAAATAATTAATGAAACAATAGAGTTTCATCTTATGTGAAATTATTTATTTGGCTGTGTGAAGACAGTTCTCTCAAGTTTTCTTTAGATAACTGGCTGCTTCTCTAAGATGAGGGGCCATTTTTAGTGAGGCTGGGTATTTATGATAGTTGGTGATTCTATACATTATACTAGAGTTTTATTATAGTGAAACAACCAGGTATGTCTGAATTTGGTTTTTCCTTTCACATTTTTAAGCGCCTACTGGAATGAACTGGAAAGCCTAAGAATTTTGTAACTAAGGAGATATGAGATGAAACCTTAGCTCTGCTATTTACGTCTCAGAGATTCCATTTTGGTTCCAAAAAAATAAGAATAATAACACCCACGTAAGATTTACTCTGAATCTTAAATGGGTTGGCATATAGAAAGCGTCCGCACAAAGCCTGACTCCTAGCATTGCTCGATACGGGGCACAGATCACTGCTGGCAACAGCTCCTGCTGTATAATTCCAAGGGTATTTGCTATCCTCTTTGAAAGGTCAAACAGTCAGACTAGTGTTAGGTTGTCTATGACATCAGTGATGTTCCAAGGGTCACAGAGGTGAATGTGATTTTCTACTCTATAGAAGTGTAACGGAGGAAGGGCCCCATATGGGGACTCCCAACAGTGTCCTCACTCTACTCAAGACAGACCTGCTCTGATGTCAACTCTGTGTAGAGTTCCACCCCAAAACAATTAAAGAATGATGATGAAAATTTTAAAATAATAAATAAAGCAAGATGAGCTGGGAGACATAATAGAACTGAGGCTATTTGTTCACAAGTAAAAGAACCTGAGAAATAAATTTCATGATCTGCTTCATTGTATGTTGTATTTTTCAGAAACAGGCTTCTATTGCAAGCTGATTTGGGATTAGACACGGCAAACAACCTTTTTATGTGAACCTATTTCAACTCCTCCTTGTTTTTTCACTCCCCCACCTTAATTTATAGTTTCACTCAGGAGGAAAAGAAAAGATAATTCTGAACGCAGGATGGCGACCAGAAAGGAAACGTAGAAATATGAATGGAGGGGTAGGGGAAAGGAGGAAAGAGTTGCATTCAAGTTTTAATTATTTGTCGTTCTCTTGGGAAAGTAAGAAGAATTGGTTTGACACTGTATTATACATTATTACTGGAACTGAAACAAGAGGAAAAAAGTTTAAATTTATACCCTTTGTGTTATTCCCCCCTTAAAGGAAAAAACACAATTTTCTGAACATAGTTTTCTCCCTCCCTCCCCACCCCCTTACTCTTTTTCTTTCTGGTTTTAAAATAGCAAACCTGATTTACCAAAGATAATCCTTGTTACCTTTAAGAACAATTACTTTGCAGCTGCAAGCAAAATGATTTATAGGAATAAAGCTTAGAGCCCACTCCTATAAATAGGTTCTTTCCTTTGGATGCACCTTTTGCATACAGTGGAATGTAATCTTTCTTTTTCCTGAGTAGACAAAAAAGGTTAAAATTAAGGAAGCACAGACAGGTTGCTGGTGCTTCTCAGGGCATGGGGTGGGGCAGGGTAGGGAGAGTGAGTCGCTTCTTTCCCCATGAAGGCTTTCTAGTCTCTGGACCCCGTGACCTCTGGGTAACAAACTTGTGTGAACTCTATCAGACCCCAGTGGTCCTCCAGCTGTGTCTGAGCCTGCACACTGAGG